AAGTATTTAAAGTATTTAAACCCTTAAAAGGAATCTATTCTCTCTTACGGAGACTTAACGCTCACTTCTTATTTAAATAATTTCATAAATTTTCATGGATTTAGTAAAAATGTTAATTGAGAAAATATTTTTAAAAAAATCATCCATTTCAAGAAAGTATTAGATACTTGGTTAAAGACGCACACGCACACGCACGTACAAGCAACATGCCAAAATATCAGTAACATATAAATTAAAACAAAAATATAAAAAAATTAATTAAACTTTCTGTTATAAATCAATAAAAAAATTTAAAAAAAAAAACCATATTTTAATAAAAAAATTTTGTTTAGCCATTTACATGTCAGACGAGTAGCATCATGTGTGAAAAAGGGATTAAGATGAAATGAAATTTTAGGCAGAAAGTAAAATTTACTTCTTTTTTTTAAACTTTTATGGGCATCTCTTTCAATATAAATAAATATACATAAAGCCACACATACAAATATACATATTTATGGGTAAGTACGAAAAAGATATGAGAACACGGTTTAATTTTGCGTATGCATGAAAAGCGGCGACAAAACGATAATTATATATATATAAATATATATATATATATATATATATATAAGTACTTGAAGAAATTTTTAATAATATTTCCGGTAGTTTGTTTTGCTTCTTTTACTGTTGCATCAACAGCAATTGTGTCAACACCAGCAATGTTATTATGCTGATTTTTAAGATTTTGATGATTCGATCTCTTAACATTAATGTCCTTTTCATTTTGCGGCGAATTTGTCGTTTCATGATTGACTTGATTATTCAGTGCACTAAAAAAAGGTAATAAATCTGTACTGTATGAAAAAAAGTGGGCGATAGGATGTGTTTCAATAATAATAATAATAATAATAATAATAATAATAATAATAATAATCATAATCATAATAATACTAGTAATTATAATCAGGAAAAAAGCAAATTTAATAATAACAAAAATTTTTTTTTGCATTTTTTTTTTTTTTGTTTGGTTTTTTTTTCGCCTACAAAATCCTTTAAAAATGTATTACCTTCTTATTAGCGTTGTATTCACAATAGCGGGCGCATTACTAGTTGTAGTTGTAGTCGGTGTAGTATGAATAGAAGAGGTTGTCGATAATGCATTACTTGTAGGTGGAGTAGTTGTAGGACTAAGAGGCGGTGATTTCCTGTTTAATTATATAAGAGAAATAAAAAAAAACAAAAATTAATCACTTGAAAATAGTTAATATTCGGAAGGGAATTTCATTTAACATTACGTTGAAGAATGCAAAATAAAACAAAAAAAAGCAAAAACATATGATTAGATAAGAAATTAAAAAAAAAAAAAAACTCCTAACTGACCCAATCACCAATTGTTGAATTGAAATTTTGCATACAAGTAAAATATTCTGCTTATAAGAAGACTATTTAAAAAATTGTGTGCAAAATTTTTTAATTTGCTTTTAAATAAATATTTGAATTTTTTTATAGGCAGACAAATCGTGCTTTTAGAAAAGTACAAAAATTCGGCTCAAAAATTAAACGCAATTAATTTGCTTTCTGTTCGTGTGTCTATAAAAAAAAAAAAAAAAAATCAACGCAGAGGAATTCCGAAGAAATTCTCCTACGCATAAATATATAAACGTAGCTCCGATATTTTCTGTAGGTTTTTTGTTAGAAACGTTTCTTGATCTTTTTTCGCCGATCACTGAAGTACAAGGAGTATATTCATTTTCTTAAAATATTTGCAACACCCAGAAGTAAGCATCAAAAATCCAGAATTAGTATCAAATTCCGAATCGATTTAAGTATGTCCGTCTGTGCGTTTTAAACATTCCCCTGGTCGCAAAAATTAAGCTATCGACTTCAAATTTAGGCAAAACATTGGAAGATCTGTTTTCCAAAAAGATTCAAAAATAGGTTTTTCATTAATCAGTTCAGTTTCATAAACTCATAAACTACAGCGGATAAATGTAGACAACAATGTGAACGTATATTCTATGGGCGATGCTATAGCACGTGTACAAAAATAGAAAGAATCGACCACGCCTAAGCTTCACAAAATTCAATAAGGTATATAAATAAATTCTTGGCCAATTTCAAAATCGTAAAGCACTTAAGCATGTCTGTCCATCTGTACCTCTGCCCGACCGTTTGCAATAATGAAGGTATCGGCGGTAAATTTGCAAAAGAATTTGAAAATTATCTAAACCGGTCAAAGGACCCGCCTGTAAACGCTTTTGCCTTCCGTGTTTTTTGCTTATTACACATAAACCGTGTACATTTCCAATTTTATTGGGGCGCCCACCCAATATTATTGAGTGAGTGTAAAAATTTAAATGTTTTCGTTTCATTTAAATGGGTATAAGATTCGGTCATGACCGAATATCATTTTTTAACATTTTTAAAAGTTTGCCATTGCATTTTACAAATGCCTTAGTAAAATATGTAAAAAATTCTTTTGAAGGAAATTCTTGAGATAAAATAAATAAAGACTTTGAAATCAATATTTTAAAGTTAAGAAAAAATTGGCTGAGATTTTTGGTGAATTTTTATTGACAAATTTTTAAAGAAAGTGCTTTATTGCTTATTATCAATCTATACATATATATATTTATTTATTACATTTTTTCTTTCTTTTTTTTCTTCGAAACACACAAATAATAACACTTGAATTTTATTTAATTAAATTATATTTGAAATTAAAATAGGAAAAAACACAATAGTAATATAAAGCGAGAAATGAATAAAATTTATGTTATGCGAAAAAAAATAAATAAATAAAACAAACCTGAGAAATATTTGCTTATGATCTTTAAGTGAAGCCGATCTTTGCACGGCATAATTTTGACTTAAGATGTTCGATATTGTATTATGAATGATGTTTGTTGTTGGATTATTGATTGACAAACTGTTAGTATTGGTTGTATTTGTGGTGATTGAAGAACATAATGTTGTTGTGAAGGCGGGTTGTGTTGTAGTTGTTGTGTTCAAGTTTGTTGTTGTAGTTGTAGTTGTTGTTGTTGCTGTTGTTGTTTTTGTAGTTGTTGTTGTAGTTGTTGTTGAATTAGCAACACTCGTGTTAAGATTTATTAATGTGGACTTGATTGTGGTACTACTAGTGCTAATGCTACTACTACATATATTACTGTTGTTGTTATTATTATTTTGATTATTGTTACTGACGGTATTAACATTATTATTTTGTTGCAATGTTGCCGGTATTATGAGGCATGAGTTGGCTTTTATGCGTGCACGTAGTTCATTATATTTTTGATAGAATCTTTTTTAATTTTTTGTTCAAAAAAAAAATTTTTTTTTTTTTTTTATTTTTACGTTGGAAAATTTTTTATTTAAAAGAAGAAACAAAATAAAAGCGTTTATTTTTTTTTAAATTTTTTTTAGCACCAATTGCAATTTTGTTAGCACACATTCAGTGATTTATTTTTTCATTTTTGAGTTTAATTAAGAGGCCGATTCGTTGATGAAGATGAAATTGTAAAAGTATAAAATAAGAAAAATATAAAAAAATTAGCAAAAAAAAACAGGATTGTTAACAGGTTAATATTTTGCTTAAAAATGAAAACAATTATTTCATGGATACATATTATAGATACAGATATATATATATATATATATCAAATTAAAACAAAAAAAATTAAATTTTCGTAATTTTGCTTATTAAAATACTAAAATATTCAATTTTTGTCTATAGTTCGGGGAAGGGGTGTGTCCATTTTTGTCAAAACGTTTGCAGGAACACCCAGAAGGAAGCCTTAGAGAACCCACAAAGTATATATATATATATTCTTGATCATCATCAAATTCTAAATCGATTCCAAGCGTGTCCGTTCCTATGATCGTCTGTCTTTATTGCCAAAGCATTGGAAGTTCTTGCATGCACATTGGTAGTGAAATTGAACCAAATCGGTTAAAGGACATAACGATCAGAATACACAATAACCTAAAATGACCCCTGTTTAAAAAAAAAAAAAAAAACTCTTGTTTTCTCGCTACTTATAAATTGCAAAATTTTCCTTCAGTTAAGTTTACAGAAATTAAATCAATATTCCGACCGAAATTTGTACTAACTTTGTATGAAATGTGGCGAACTGTCAAACCGCCAAACTTTCATTATTTTTAAAGTATTGTTTAACACTGAAAACGTTCCGTTCTCTTGTGTAATGCTTCATTTTTACTAACCCTAAACTGTCACTAAAGCCTGCAAATCGTCATATATAATGTTGTTACTTCTTAAATATTCAGATTTTTTTTTTTTTTTTTGAATATGACCAATCTCTTAGGGGACGCCCACTATTCGTGAATGGTCACCGTCAGAAAGAAGGCAAGGAATAGAAAGAAGTCGGAAGATGGTGGCTGCTGTCTAATGGGAAAGCCCTACAGCACGTTGACGCGGGCTTAGTAGTCACGGTCCTTATCTACTCGGCTACATAAAAAATAAATTTTATATCTTCAAGTTAAAAAATAAAAGAAATGTATGAAAAGTTTAATTACGAAAATTATAATTATTTTCATTCTTGAAGATATTTTTAGGCATAACATGAAATAGCTAAAAATATGAAATGCTTGAAAACTTGAAAGACTTATGTACTTACTTTTCATCATTTTCAAAGCTTTGAGTTCGTCTCAAAATGATGTCGGATGTATCCGAACTGTTATTTGTTGTTGTAGTTTTATTAACATCTCTATCAGGAACTTCTAAATATTATTTTTGAAAAATAATTAAATAAATATATTCATTAAAAAAAAAAAAAGATAAGAAAAGTTTTTATGGATAAATATATGAACAACTTACGAATTTTACTTGAACTTTCATTGAGTGTGCGCCCGCGTGGCACATTATTACTCCGACGCCATGGTGTCTCATCATCTGCGGCAGGTATTTCATTGGTTGATTTCTCATCTGCAAAGATACGTCAATGCAGAGAATTGCAATGTTATTACAAATGCAATGAAACGGAAATGAAAATAATGAAAACTGTACATTTGAAGATTATGTATATATTTCAAATGCGAGTGTATTCAATATTCATATGGCCGACGCATTCGAATCATGTGATACCAAGAATATATGTATGTATTTATATATATATATATATATAAATATATATATTGTTGTTGTTTGATCTGCAATTCTGTAAATTAAAGCACAATATAAATAAAACTAAGGGTCCTTTTTTTATATATATAGGAAACAAATCGACGTCACTGCCCCAAAACAGCATCTTTATATACGAAAAACTGCCTCAAACCAAAAATTTTCCATTGTATCAATACTGTGGTGTAGGTAAGTAGGTAGATAGGTACATAGGTAGGTAGGTAGGTAGGTAGGTAGGTAGGTAGGTAGGTAGGTAGGTAAGTAAGTAATAAATAATAATAATAATAAAATGATCTTTTAAAAGTGTACGAGTATATATGGCTTGAAAAACTGAGAGAATGTAATTAAATTAGTTTTTTTTTTCCCAAAAAAAATCTTCAATCGGACGAACTTATTGTTGTGTAATTGAAAAAAAAAAAATAAAATAAATGAATAAACGCTGTAAAAGCACATGCTTATAGAAAAATCAAAATAAGATCGTAGTGATAACTGTTAAACACATTTTATCAATTTGTTTAGAAATACCTTCTTGATTATCTTGATTATCTGAAAGGCTGGTGGAATGCGAACTCTCTGTGGAATCGGTTAATTCTGAATCGGTCTCCTCAGATTCTGAATTCGTTGTTAGATTATGGCCGGTAATGGTTGTAGTTGTTGTCGTTGTTGTTGTAACAGAAGCGGAAGCTAACGAACTTGAGGCTATATTATCGGTGATATACAACATATAACAACAATAAGGACAACAAGAAATAGCAGCAATAACAACGATGTTTTAATTAAAAAAAAAAAAAAAAAAAAAAAAAAAAAAAAAGAGAAAAAGAAGGAAGAAGGAACAATAGAGCAGCAGATTAGAAGCGCACAAGTTTTACGAAACGAAACGAAACAAAAATAATTGCGTTAATGTGAATGATGAG